CTGAAATGCCGGAACTCCACAGGACCCAACATAGTTATGGCTCGCAGTAGGTTCTATGAACACATGTTGCTGAAAGAGTCGTAATAACCAATTGAACATTTGTTACAATACGATAGTGAAAGGCCACACTAGGCCAATGCCCGTTACATAGTGTGGTGGAGTTGAGCCTTGGAGTGGTGCACTGCTGCCCAACCCACACACCCACCACATACCCGATTCAGTCATCAAAAGCAGGTTATTAACAACTTCCACATACATAGAAATAGTTCTAAAACTTTAAGAGATATGTAAAGACCAAGAACATGTAACTACCAGAAGGGTTCTGATGGGTGTGTGGGTAACGGGCAGCTATGATGTGCCGCCGTCCCGATGCGGACTGACCTCACCAGCCACTGCCACCAGTTGTCATGTTGTCTTTCATTGCCACTACCCAACCTAGAAGCAGATGGTGTACCAGCAGGAGCAAGAACCACCACCATGGAGCTAGTTACAGCTAACAAGGAGAGGGGACAGTACGGTTCAGGTGTTTCTCAACTTAGTCATCAAGAATGTCAGCATAAAATTAGTGAAGCCAGATATTTGAAAAGAACTTGCTATTGAGTAAGATGGTGCCCAAGCGGTGTAAGTGGCATAGCAGAGTACCGTCCTGTCCCCCTGCTACCTGCCTGCCTTGCTGGATTGCCCTCAAGCCTCCCTGGACTCCCAACCAACTCGCCAACAGTGCCACTAGCAGAGCCTCAGGTCCTGTTCTCTTGTTCCTTCTCAACTGGAAAACATATTGTCAAGATTGGGAAAATTTCTGAAATTGGATTGACTGGAGATGGAACTCGACTACCCTAGTGAGGGATGGTGCTGGCCGTTGATCAATGATGCCTTCACTGTTAGATTCTGCTGGTTATGCCAGTGGACCAATAGGTCAGGTAGGACAGTGCTCAAGGCTCTGACTAGGCACAATAAAATTTGCCGACTCACCCCATCTACCAAGACTGAAACCCCAAGTCAGGACACATCACACTTTGTTTACTTACTTTGTAAAATGATTTGCTATAGATAGAGACTTAATTAGTATGTGAATTATCTTGCAGTAGCATCTTGTCATGCTTCTCCTAAGTGCAGTGTTCGGGACGTCAGTGGTGGACCATACGCTTCATGATACATAAGTGTTGGAAGACAAATTCAAACTCCCCCCAAACCTTCATATCAAGGCTTTTCTTGTGGACTGTGGCAAGGCATATTTGTTGGGGCATTTGGAGGGAGCACGACAGGAACACATGCAAGGTTGATTGACACAGCTTTAATAGTAACAGAATAGGAAGAAATGGGAGTTTACATACATCTATAATTGATACCGATAGTTTTTTTGTGAAAAGATTTATGTAACTAATCATGATGTTATTTATATGAATGATCACTTTCTACATAAAACTTGAAAAAATGTTTGGTACTGTGTTGGCCAGGTGTATTGAGATGGTAATAATGTGTGATCCCCAGAACCAGGCCTGGTCACTCATCCTCACCACCATGTTTCTGTTCCACCTGTATATACAATCAGTCCTTTGGGATTTCAGCCCAAACATTTCTTTTTGCTGATTTTTCATGAGCATCCTAGACTGGTCTGCAGTCTTATGTGTGTGTGTGCTTATTTCTTCTGTTTTTCCCAAGGTATCACGTTATCTGTACTTCATGATTTTTGTTGGATAAAGGATGTGTAGTTGATAGGTTTGTGTATTAGAGTACTCAGCAGCATTATTTTTTTTATACCAAGTGTGTAGCAGTAAGGAGGGCTAAGGTAAGCTGTAGTGCAGACCAATCTAAGGGTTGCACAGTGGCTGTGGCTTGTGTCGTGGTGGCCCAGTGCTGGCTGACACCGTCCACGTCTGTCTCTGCCAGGGATGCTCACCTTTTATTGATTATGATATTTTAGCTAAAAATTGTTTCATTTGAATTTTTTATCATGATTGATATCTTGGTGTTGTGTGTATTTTTGCCTGTTTCCCTCCATTGTTGTTAATAGTACAGCAAATGATATCAGGCAGATGTAGGGCAAGAAATTATTTTTCTTAAAACTTTGTGACCATTTGTAATTTTCCATAGGAATAATTGTCTGTTATTGAAATTACATTTTGTAATTTTCTGAGGATAAATTGTCTATTTCTAAAGCTACAAAATATACGAGTGCTTATATATAGAATAATATATATAACCAGATGGAACTTGAAAAGATTAGGTGGCATTTGGTATGGAAAGAGGCAGATATGGCCATTAGCCAGCAACTGTGTCCAGGCCAGGCTTGTAGGCGCCCTTCTACCAAGCACACCTGCACGGGTGGCGTGAGCTTGGTGTAGCAACTTTCATGACTTAAGGCAAAATTTATTATCAGTTTTCGGTGTGCTATATGTAATGGAATTTTCTATACTGAAAATTTGTAGAAAAAAAAGTGGTTTGGACGTTTATTGGCAGATTGTGGGATTATAGAGAGGTGTGGAGTGTAAACCCAGCTCGGAATATGCTATTCTTATGATAATTTGGTGTCCCTACGAGTTCACATACTACAGTAGATCAGGAGTATGCTGAGGATGGGAGATGATGACTACATGTTGAATTAACACCTTCATTGTAGTAAAGATGTGGATGTGGGGTTACAGTAGTTTCGTGGGAGCCTGATCAGTCCAAGGGTGTCTACCAAGTGTAGGACAAGTGGGAACTTCAAGTTATCCAGCAGACAAGCATTTCCGCACGTATTTGTGTGTCCATGTCTGTTGCTCCATGTTGACCATCCCCGAGTAGGATACTTCAATCTGTGTTACCAAACAGTGATGAATAGAAGCCTTCATTGTTTGTGTTTTCAAGCCAATTCACTGCCATTTTTTGTCGTATCATGGTGATGGAATTGAAGAAGTATAAACAGTCCAGCAGTCCAGGGTGTTGGCTCATTGAGTTAGAATTTTCTTTCTTTTCATTTCTTTTTAGCTTATTTATTTTTATTAATATAATTACTTATCTTTATTTTCAATTATGTTATCAGAGAATTTGTTCACATTTTTATCATTACTAATACTTTTTTTTGTTTTTTGTTTTTGTTTTATACTTTTGATTTTGGGGACTTTTTGCCCAGTTTTGATGGGATTTGATGAAATCTGTTGCTTGATGTGCCTGGTTTAAGCCAAGAAATTGAGGTAATTTGGTTTGTTTCAATAAAAAAAGCATTTAATATCTTTTGTTTAGCAGCAGCTATTATCTCTCTAAGGAATATCAATTTAGCTTTTATTTGTCCTTCAGCAATTGTACATTGATTCTGAATTGCTTCAAGTCTTGCTGTGTTGTAATTACTGACCTAATGGATATGTATTATTAGTCTCACATGAATCCCATCTTTTTGGCAAGAAATAATAAAAAGACGATCAAAAGTGGATCCTTGTTCTTGTACTATTATCTTGTCCTCTCGTTTGGTTAAAGCTGCGGCAAAATGTTCGCCTTGTTATTCTGTAAAATTTGTTGCCATATAGATTTTCCCCTTAAAAATTGTTTTGGAGAAAATGTACATACTCTGTTTTGATTTGATCAAAATCACCTTGCTGTAATGGAAGTATTGATAAGTTGTTAATTGGAAAAAGAAATTTAAGTTCTCTAAGGAAAGTAATTATATGAATTGCAATAAATGGAAGCAGTTGCAGTACTATAGTAGCCAAGTTTTATTAGAACAAGGAGCACAAAGGTAATGTTTCATATTAAACACATACTTTTAAGCACCCAAAACACAGCTGTAAGAAGTGTGCAAATGTGTTTACATGATGCACCTGACATAATTCCCATGAAGCACCTTACATACAAGACATCCATCATGCCACTCGCCATGCATGCACATATCACACATCATGTTTAACAGACGCAGACATACGTACACAAACATGCACAAATAATGCCTTCCATTATGCTGTTGGAGCATGTGCAAATGCAACATCAGTATGCATACATACAAAAATGCACTTCCACTCCCACATATAAAAAAGAAAAAAAAGAAAAAAAAAAAAAAAAAAAAAAAAAAGAAAAAGAAAAAAAAAAATACATGCACTCGCACTTGCTGTGGCACACAGTTGCAATCATACACACACACACTCAGATACACTCTTTACCTATGTATAATGCCAATTTACACACTATTTTTACTATTTTCTTTGGTAGTTGCAGATCCTTGCTAATTTTTCAACTTGTAGCTCATGGTGGGCACACTGGATGACACCCTTTAGACGAGGGTGGAAACAGACTCAACAGGGTGTGTGGATTGTGATACCACTATTTTTTCACTTTTTTTAATTATTATTATCATTTTTTATCTACAGAGGTCAAACATTGACACATATGAGTGGTCTTCTTCACAGAAGAGGTTGTTGGAAGTTATGTACCAAACAACAATTGGTGCTCTGTTTGTCAGTCAGGACTTGGCAATACATAGGCTTTGATTGTAGTAGCTGGTTTTGATTACCCTACAGATGCTTCTGATTTCTGGTTTTATAGGTAAAGAGTGACTGACAAGAGAGATCAGTAAGAGGAAATGTGAGCAAACACCAACTGTCACTCCATGATCAGTTTACCAAAAATCTTGCAAGTCTGTAGTCATTGTGAGGGCTATTAAAAGACTTGGAAATGCCACTGATAAATGAATTAAACAGATCAAAGAAAAAAATAAAAGTAAAATTGAAATCTTGTGGGTTCGATTTTCCTTCAAATACAAAATGAATTATTACTTCATGTGATGTTATTAATGCTTATAAAGTGCATGTGAAATATGTTTAATAATAGCTATTTTGGATTTCTTTATGCAGTAAAAATGAAATAAAATGAAAATAATTCTGTAAACAACTTTTACATTACTGAAAAATAACAAGACTCCTTAAATAAAGCAGAATGTCTCTTTACATCTAGTTCTATATGTCTTGTCCATATTTAATGAAGCTGAAAGTATAGGTGATATTTACTGAAATAGATGCATATCATGAGATGGTTAACAAGGAAGACAGGGATTACTTATAAAAGAATTTGCAATGTCCTGTATTGACTAGTTTTAAATATACCACACTAGTAGCAAAATATACAATCAAGGCCAAAGAAAACTACAGTTTTTAAAAGTTTTTTCAGGCGATAAAGTAATACTGGTGTTTAGTTCAACTTTGTATTCCTTCAGGTTAGTACTAAATGTAGAAACATCAATTTTCTCACTCTATTTACTATACTCTTTCACTGACAGTATTGCAAAGAAAACTAACCACAGATTATGAAGGAGAAAATCCAGTCATTAGGAAACTAGGATAAAAAAAAGCAAATGAAACAATGACTAATTTCTATTGATTACATCTTTATCCCTCCCTAGCAATATCCTCGACTAAACAGCTTGCAGTATCCAATATTTTATACTGGTTTAACTCAAAAATATAGGAGACTAAATTATTCATGCATATTAGTCATAGAAGAGATATTCTTATGAAGAGGGTAAGCAACGAATAAGCGAGGACTGCATCTTCTAAAATTCAAATGTAATAATTAAGGATGGTTTTGTGTGAATTAGATTGGCATATATTAGAGGTAACAACAATATACTGACTTTTTTCTTTTAATTTTCTTATTATTTGGGTAGAGGTACCAATTATCAGTGCACAAAAAATGGGGTGTAATTTATGCGTTACTCCTAGTAATTCACATCACAGACTGAAATGCTCATGTTTATTATGTTTGCAAATGGCTCTTGTTCTGTGACAAATACAGATGGAAGGAATTCATGATTTTTAGAGGCATATTCTTTGCAGATATTCAAGTGTTTTCCCAAATATCAAAAACGACGCTTGATCTAATCTGTAGTAATTGTTTTCCTTTGTATTCAAAAAGTAAAATATAAAAGCTTCTTTTAAAATATATTGAAAAAGTTCTTGTTTTTTGGTTTTGGAAATAGTTAAACTAAAACATGTATTGTCATGCAGCACTATCAGCACTGCTACTTGTATATTTTGTTGCCACTCTTAGCCATAAATCGTAATTGATGACCAAACAAGCCACCCAGAAGAAAATGCCTGTATCTGTCAACATGAACAAATAATTATAGCCAGGTTCTGTTGGGTTAGGAAAAAAATATTAATTTGCCCATAATTGCTTTTTAAAGAAAAGACTGATACATCACCTACATTTGTATACTTTGCCTTTATTAATGTTGAAGGATTTACTTTTACCTATTTTTTCCTGGATGTGTTGATTTTCTTGACCTTGACTCAGACCAGGAATTTGTAGCAGTGCTGTAGAGCAGTGATTCAGTGATTCCAAATCAAGCTTGGACCATTGTAAGACAGACCATGGCAACCGATAGGTCTTTGCTAATCAGCTTCATCAAATGATGTAGCAATTACATTTTTCTTACATAAATACCTAGTAGTAAATCTACACATTACATCTGACACTCCTGACTATAGTTCTTTTCCTGCACTACATAACCCATCTTTTGACCCTGACATTATCGCTACATTGGCATACTTGATAATCAGGGTTACATATCCTCTACACAAAGAAGCTCTTGGCTGTACATCCTCTCCACTTACCAGCCATGATTGCATACTGCCAGCTGCTAAATCTAACAGCTCCAGCTACACACTTCACACTCCTGGTTGCATGTCACCTTGTAAGAAAGGATTACTTCAATCTAAGTAATTGCTTAAATACTTATGCTAAGTTCAAACAGTTTACAATTGCAATGCCGTTTGTACTGTAGAAATTTATGTAGTTCATGCTAAATGAAACATGCATGGCAACCTCTGACAAGATTATAAAATAGCCTGGACACAGAGTATTAAAGAAAATATATTGATAGTACTTTTAAAGTAGAATGATTTTCAGTGGGATATTTTGATTTTATTGAATGAATTTGAAAAAAGAAAGGAAGGAAAGAAAGAAAGAATAAAAACACTGGTCATAGTGCCTGATCATGTGCCAATAAATATGCACTCCCTTCCCACTTTTCCATATGCCTAATACCAACTTCGATCTTGAAGCTTTCCCCAGGCACCCATACCAAAATGAATTACTGTTTCCCTCTAGAAATCTTACTTTTATGTAAAGATTCCTGAAAATATACCTTTTTTGTTATTAATTTCACTCTTGTATGGTAGTTGTATCTAAAACCATTTTTGCATTTTTATAAGAACATTACATAAATGTTAAGGGTGATAATAACGCCAGGTTTATTATTTTCACGTGTTTTCTTTTTGATATGAAAGCTTTTAATATCAGTTGAATACCAACTGAAACACTGCATCTAAATTGGTATCTCTACCCTATAAAGATATGAAAATAATATGCAATACTTTCTGTTCTAACATGGAATGTACTTGTAAGTATTCGTTTAATCATTTTAGCTTTTGATTTTCTGGATAATGGTCACCAATTCTCTACTTTAACTTCAACTTTCGATACTCTTAAAAATTCTTCATAGCAAAATCACTGTTTAGTAGATTAGTTTACCTTCCAGAAAGATTTATTAATTCACTCAATATATGTATTTACTTATCTTAGACTTTATTATCATTATTATTACTACAACTTTACTAACAACAAATATGCTGCAGTGTTTTCCATCAATTTAGAAATATAATTATGGCATATGACACAGATAGTTTCCATTTATTTTTCAATATTATAAGAAGCATATTTTCTTTTCATTTCTGCCTTCTATGTGTATATATTTTTTGTTTTTCTATTTCCAGAAAGGTTAATACTCACTTAAGGTCCATTTCTTAGTCTCTTGGTAGCCCTCAGTAACTTGGTGTTATTTAAAATGAGCAATCTTGTACTCACTGCCATTTCATTAAAACTGTGCTGTTTCCTTAGAACATTTCCCTTTATAAACTTAGGATCATCGACTGTTTCATACATTGAAATCTCTGTGTATCTAGATTAACTTTCCTACCATTCCCAGTGCCCTTCCTTTATTAATGTTTTGTCTCTCCTTAAAGGTTGTAACCATGCTGAGGGAGTGTCTTTGTTACTCTCTACTTAAAACTTTGAAAACAGGCAAGACTGTACATCTTTTAGTAATTTTTACAGTATGTTAAGACTTTACAGTTGCATAAACTAAGATTTTACTTTTAAGAACTAAGGAATGTATAACTTTGTATGTTTATAAATCATAATAAAATGCCTATTTTCATACAAATGTTGTCAGATATTTTCTTGTCAGGTGGATAAATATCACAGACAGAAGGCATTGGCACTGGGAATAGGTAAGAGATCTAGTGAATGAGTTTATATTTTATTTCATTTATGAAGTTCAAATATTTCCTTTCAGTATAAAATTTTGTCCTTAATAATGCCAAAATGCCATGGAAATTACCATTTAATTTGCTTGATTTTTTTTCATAGCTAACCAAAAATGTTTGAAATCTTTCACTTTAGCCTATTAAATGTAACAGCTTTTGTAATGCCTTGGAAAATATTATTTCAACCATGAAAAATTTGAAGAATATTTGCTTCTTATTCCTGTTCAAACTGCCTCATATTGCAAATGTTTGAGAAGACAATGAAGATAAACAGACTACTTTCACATGCATTGTTAATTAAGAACACATTCTTTTGCTTCTCAAGAGCTTGATCTTCACCCATGAAGTGAAATCAGAAATTATATTGCTTTCTTCAGCAACCTGTGCATATTCTACACTAACATCTTTCTACATACATGGTTTAGTACAGTCACTACTATAATCCAGTGCCAATGTAGTCATCATCAAACATCATGTGCTGAAGTTTCTTTCTTCTTTATTTATGGGCTTCGTTTTATAACGGTGCACCATATTCACTTTCTCCTGTATCAAGGAGATTTTGTTCAGTCTTTTGTTGTGTGAAGTGTCTAACTAAAACAGTCGTGTTCTCATTAATCTTACTTTAGTACAAAACGTTGATTAATCACTATCCCAATTGTGTTTATCATATATTGTACATTCCAATGCTTTATGTAAATTTAAATAAGGCATTATAAACCTTCCCTTATTTATAAAATTCACATTATAGATTAACAACCTAATCACCCCTCCAAAATATTACTATATAGTTTGTCAGCACTCATACTTTCCATTTGCACAGATGAAACTGCTATCATCACAGTTTACTATATAGGAAAGAAGAAAAGAAAGAAAAGGGGAGAAAATATAATTAAGAATCTGGATTGGTCTTTGTACAAATCAGTTTTCTGCATGCCAACAGAAACCCAGAGAATGACTTTTATCCTGACATGGATACAGTATTATTCTTGTAAACATATTTTATAGTTTCCAGTAATGCAAATACATCTGTTCAGCATTATCACACGTGTCCCCTTCCTTTACTTTTATTAGATAAAGTAATTATTACAAGGAATAAAAATAGATCCATACTCCTAAGTATCACAAGGAATCTAGTAAGAACCAAGAAATATTTAAAGATGGATTAACAAAAAAATATTTATATGACATTTTTACAAGCTTACTCATATTCATTGCCCTTATTTATTTTTATATCCTCTATACTATGAGAGTTTTTTTTATGGTAAGTCTTCTTGTTGGCTATCAAAGTCATCACATTTAATTTTTTCATGATTGTGATTTCATTTTAGTGCAATAAATTGCATACTACTTATTCACAGCATGATTTGTTTATGTTAATTAGAGCTAAACTTTTTTTAAATGTTGTGA